ACAATTCATCACAATACATAGATCAATTGTGTAAAGCACATCTATACATTTGTTGCCCTCTTATTCCCAAAATTCGCTTTCCTCTTCATTTCCCGGAATCAGCTCATTTTCCTTTTTTCCCCTCCCCCTCCTTTCCTCCTCCCCTGTCCCCCATCTAGGTCGTCACTCTTACTTGCAAATCTCTGCAACTTTCTACTTGCAAAGAGTAAATTAACTCCTCTTATTATTTTTAGAAATCTGAATGGTCATCTTCCAAGTTTCTAATACTGGAGAATGCCTTAATTTAAGTCCCCTGGAAGACTTAGCTTCTCTGTGTCTCAGAGACGTCCAGATGGCCACGTTTCCCCATCTTCCCCAGCAGAGCAACTTTTACAATCCATATGTGTGGCTAAATCATTTTTCTTGTGGAATCTTTAAAAGTGTTATCTTTCTGGGCTCCTGAAAACCGTCGCGAATCAATAGTTCTCCAATGTAGCCTCATTGTAGACGTTAAGAGAAAGCATTCAACGATTTCTTCTCCCTAGTAATAATGCAGTCATGTCTACAAAGGTTACTGCATCCAAATAATGATCTTAGAAGAAACAAAAGCCAAAACTCAAAGTAGAGGAAAAGACCTTCCCAGCAGTTATACCAGACCATAGCCCTCTCTGCAAATGTGAAGGTAGAGCAATTCATAGGGATTTGCAAATGTAGTCATTATTTGGTGGGGGTGGGGATGATGATGACAAATGCTAATAACTCTGTATACAGGAGTACCCTTACATCCATCTAAGAGAGAGTAGAAACTAGAAGTGGACTTAAGGAAGGATTTAAAAACCAATAAAGCCAAAGTGTAGTCTGAGAAATCTCCGATAGTTGTAGCAAATGAACTAACAGATAAAACAGAGGGAAATTGTGATGGACAGACAGTTCAGTAGGAAAAGGCCCAGAGAAGTAGATAAACATTTGCTATAAGCAGAAGAGGAGTCAAATTCTTCAAGGGTGGTTGCCTTTAAAAGAGCTCACTTGAATTAAATAGTAAGCATATAGATAGGTGTGACTATTTACCTTTAAATTCTCTGGCTGATTTGTTTGTCTCCGTTTGCTTTAATCAAAAGATATTGTGGCTTGAGGGAGCTACAGAAGTCGCTATCTTGTTTCTGAATGTATTCTCCCCCAGTGATGGGGGGGGCACACACACTGCATTTCTTTATTTGACTACGAGGGTGGGGTGTGGGCAGATGTGAAAGGTAGAAGGAGGAAACAAAGAAGATAGCTTGATTTGGGCCAAATCTCACTATACTCAAGCAGACTGTTTCATGTGCTACGGTAACTGGAAGAGGGTGGCGTTCAGGAAGTAGTGACAGGAAGCCTTCCCATCTTTGGAGATGTCCAGGTGCAGGGCTGTGAACAGGGAGGCTACCAGGGTGGAATATGCCTGCTACTTTGTACAGATTGAGATTGTTGTTCTTATTGTTAGTTGGCATTGAGTCTGTTCAACAGAACTGAAACACTTAACTGATTTGTTTATTGCTGTCATTGAGAGATCTGCCCAACAGACGAAGCAATGCCCAGGCCTGTGCCATCCTAATAATCATAGTTTAGATGGTCATGAATCATAATCATAATTTAGACCAGGCCAGGATATTTTAAATTGATGCATCTAATTTGACATCTGTATATCTCTTTTCTGTTGTAAAATGAAAATAATATGCCAAATCTTAACTCAAAAAGATATGGTATGTGTGATAATACTAAAAGCTCTTTCTCTGAAAGAAAAATATATAGAAATACATATTGTGATCACAACAATTCCTTGATTGAAGCAAAAGAAAACTTTTTAGAATTGGAAACTGGAGGTGATAATGTTTATAACGTTAGCTGTCCTGTCTAAAGAGCATATGTAAGGAATAAAATATCATGGATTTCCATGTATTTTTCTTTGCAGTAAGGAAGGGGCTGCCTTCACACAGTCCCATCATCGTTTGCCTTCTAGACAGTCACGTCCCCACACTCAACCATCAGCCTCAGGTAATGTATTTGAAGGATTCTAGGCAAGTGCTTTTTAAATTGGAAATGATAGAAAATAAAGATGACTAAAATACCTATTCTTTGTCCTGGAAAGTAGCTGTGACATATACACTAAGAAGAACTGTTTCTCTGCGCTTGCTTTTCTTAATAAAATAATAGCTAATTCTCCAAATGTACCTATTTAAAGTTTTCAGTTCTGTTAATGCATCAACCCTCAAGCATATGAACTGTTCCGTGGTTTTAGCTTAGACATTTTCTCACAATTTCCGTGGCTTTTTCTTTTTGGCGTGTGCAGGAGGAATTAGGAGGTCTTCATCCATGTCTTATGTTGATGGCTTCATAGGCACATGGCCCAAAGAGAAAAGGTAAGTAAGCAAAGGGGGGGAGTATTCTCTGTGTATTCCCTATATCCAGAGTGCTAACTGCACCCAACGTCTTTTTCGTGGCGGTTAACCAGATTGCTAACTCTAGACTTTCCCTGGTTCCTACATTTGAAAAGGACGGCCTGGGCAAGGGCTAAAGTTCAAAAGTAAGTAGATAGCCATAAAGGTCCTCGAAGACGATATGATTATGAGAAATGGGGAAAGAAAGGAAATAGAATTTCAGATATTTTTGTTCAATGCTATCAAAAGAAAATGTTTCTGAAATTTTAAGAATTTTCTCTTTTTTCTTTGTGTTTAGGTCATCGGTGCATGGAGTTTCATTTGATATTTCTTTTGACAAAGAAAGTAGTGTACAGAAATCCACTCCAAACAGAGGAATCATTCGTTCTATTAGTAATGAAGGACTTACTCTGAATAACAATCGTGTCCCTAAACACATTAGGAAAAATTTGTCCTTCAAGCCAGTGAATGGAGAAGAGGAAGCAGAAAGCATTGAAGAAGAACTGAATGTAGACCCTCACCCTGACCTCAAGTCTTATGAGCCCCTTAACACAAATGAACTAAATGCTAATGAAAACACTCCTTATAAGCTTCCAAATGGAGCATTGCAAAATAGAGTACTGCTAGATGAGTTTGGCAATCAGATCTTAACGCCAAGTATCGAAGAAGCATTACAAATCATTCATGATACTGAAAAATCTCCCTCCACACCTCAGCCAGACCAAATTGCCAATGGCTTCTTTCTCCATAGCCAGGAAATGAGTATCCTAAATTCAAATATCAAGCTAACTCAATCTAGCCCTGATAACCTATCTGATATGAAAGGTGCCTTGAGTCCCATAACTGACAACACGGAAGTAGACACTGGAATTCATGTTCCTTCCGAAGACATTCCGGAAACTATGGATGAAGATTCTTCGCTGAGAGATTACACTGTCAGCTTGGACTCCGACATGGATGACACCTCAAGGTTTCTGCAGGATTTCGACATGCGAGGCGGCACCTCCAGAGAAGCGTCGAGTCCTTGTCCCAGTACAATAAGTACCAAGTCTCAGCCAGGCAGCAGTGCTTCCTCTAGTTCTGGGGTTAAAATGACCAGCTTTGCCGAGCAGAAGTTCAAGAAACTGAACCACACCGATGGAAAAAGTAGCGGAAGCAGTTCTCAGAAAACAACACCGGAGGGTTCTGAACTGAACATTCCGCACGTGGTCGCTTGGGCACAGATCCCAGAAGAAAAGGGCCTTCCACAAGGCCGGGACACCACCCAGCTGCTTGCTTCTGAAATGGTGCATCTTCGGATGAAACTCGAAGAGAAACGGCGTGCCATAGAAGCCCAGAAGAAGAAGATGGAAGCCGCCTTCACGAAGCAGAGGCAGAAGATGGGGAGGACAGCATTCCTTACTGTGGTAAAGAAGAAAGGAGATGGGGTCTCTCCTCTCCGAGAGGAAGCGGCCGGGGCTGAAGACGAGAAAGTATATACTGATCGAGCAAAAGAAAGGGACCCACAGAAAGCTGCTGGTCAAAGGAGCAAGTCTCTGGCCGATATCAAAGAAAGCATGGAGAATCCTCAAGCCAAGTGGCTAAAGTCTCCGACCACACCCGTCGATCCTGAGAAGCAGTGGAACCTGGCAAGCCCCTCGGAGGAAACGCTGAACGAAGGAGAGATTTTAGAGTATACCAAATCCATCGAAAAGTTGAATTCATCCCTGCATTTTCTACAGCAAGAAATGCAGCGCTTGTCTCTGCAGCAGGAAATGTTAATGCAGATGCGAGAGCAGCAGTCTTGGGTGGTTTCACCGCCACAGCCCTCTCCACAGAAACAGAGTCGGGATTTCAAACCTGCCAGGCAGACAGGCCTGCCGTCGCCCGCAGTGCCCTTCTCTTCAGACCCCCCTCGCCCCGCTCACCCGTCTCCACAGTCTTCTAACAGGAAGAGCGCATCCTTTTCGGTTAAGAATCAAAGGACTCCGAGGCCAAATGAGTTAAAGATTACACCTTTGAATCGCACCTTGACACCCCCTCGGTCTGTAGATAGTCTTCCTCGGCTAAGGAGGTTTTCACCAAGTCAGGTTCCGATTCAGACGAGGTCGTTTGTGTGTTTTGGAGACGATGGAGAACCTCAGCTGAAGGAACCCAAACCTAAGGAGGACGTCAAAAAGGAGGACTTGGAATCCACGGAGACTTTGGATCGGCACCCACGTAGTCCAGAAGACAAGGAGATCAAACCTTTGCAGTCCACAGTGTCTGAGGTCCTGTCCCAGCCTATCACGGAGACTGTGTGCCTAACACCGAACGAGGACCAGCGGAGTCAGCCCCCAGAGCCGCTTCCTAAACTGGTTTTTCCACCGACAGCCCCGAAAAATGTCAATCTAATTGAGGTCTCCCTCTCCGACTTGAAGCCCCCTGAGAAGGTGGAGGTAGCCGATGAAAAAGACGACGGGGAAAGTGATAAAGAGCAGTTTGATGAGGACCAGAAAGTGTGCTGTGGATTCTTTTTTAAGGTAGTACCAGTCTGCAGGGCCTGGGGAATGTTGACTAGAAGGGAGAGTTTTTGTTTCTTGTTCTGAGTTGGTATGCTCACTGCCTTCCGCCCTCCGTGGATGATCGGTGGTAATTTGGCATTCCCCGTGGCAGACACTTGGACCCTGCCAGCACGCTGATTCCTAGAAGAGCCTTCTGGTCATGGATTCCCGGCTGTAACAAACCCTTCCATGAGCAGGCATCGTATATGTCTAAACACACTCGTTTTCTGCTCTGCCTCCTTTAAAAACGGAGACTCCTCGGATCTCTTGACAGAGAATCCACTGCCAGTTTGTAAGAAGCTCATAACAGCATTGTAGGAAGTATAGTTTAGCTTTGTTTTTGTTGTTCTGGTTGTTGTTGTTGTATTTTTTCCCCTCATCTTGACCATCATTTCTTACATACTTTGACTTTTAAAAAGCTTTTTCATACTAACCAGACAGGATCGAACCAGGTGAAACGTTTTTAAAAGCACCTACAGTTTGAACACTTGTATCCAAACAGGTCCTCTGAAAAGCACGGCATAAGGGCCTAGCACATAACCCTGAATCTGCACTGATGATAGACACGCCATCTGCACAGTCCTCTTGCCAGCTGATTTGTTACTTTTATTTATTTATTTATTTTTTTGATTTGTTACTTTTAATGGTGAAGAGCCTATCGTTTCATAGATAATTCGAACGCTTAAGTCCTAGTTTCCTAGTGGTTACGCCACTTAAATACCCTCTTCGGTAAAAGGTCGATTCTTGTCCTTTGCCCTTTTTAAATTGGGTTGTTTGCATTTGTTTTGCTGTTGAGTTGTTAAAAAGTTTTAGAGATTAGACCCTTAACAGATACCTCATTCTCAAAGGTTTTTCCCCCAGTCTATAGATGGTCTCTTTAGTCTTTGCATACAGCCTTTCGATGAGCCTGAGTGTTCAATATTTGCTCAGAGGGAGAAAGAGGAGGCTTTCTGTTCCCTGAAAGAGTCCCCGTCTCAGAAACCCACAGGGGCAGCTCTCCTCTGCCCTGCCGGGTCGCTGTGTGCCGGGACTGACTTCATGGCAGTGCGTCTGCGTTCTTTTTGAGTTCTCTATTGTATCTTCTGCTGCTCTTGCTTGATTGTTGTAGTTGATAATTTTTAAAAAACCAAAAAAACCTTGGTCCACAGTTTTGTACTTTGCTGAAGCATTTGGAAGTTCAGAGAGGTCTGAACTGGGGCTGCCCCTAATGATTCAGGTGGAAACTAGGGCAGGCCCTCATGACCCCATGATCATAAACCAGCTCTCAGATTGGAGCCTGCCAGAGGATACAAGTATAATTATGCCCATCTTCTCTTCAAAGAAAACACCTTCAGAATAGCTCAAAACCAACTAAGGAAGTTTTAAGAACCTTACCCTGGATTTTTTTTTAAAGGCAGAAGCAGCAGTAGTTGGCATTTCAGTGGTGTAACTTTGGATGACTAATTCTTTGGTACGTTTACCTGAGTTTTCTTGACTGAACAAATATTTTAAATATAACTAACTTATATGTAGATTTTAAATCTAGAGGGAAATCCCTCACCATAAATTGTTAATGCTCCCCCACTTCCCCGACCCCCCAAAAGAGTCTTTTTTTTTTAATGGCTGTTCTTTTAAAATATTTTAGGTTTTCGAAAAAATGAAATTAAATAAATGTTCCTTGCTACTTGGTAGAGCTGTAGCCATATTAATTCAGTTCTTTCATAATAATTAGTGGAATATATCCTATTTGTGGGGTTGGAATAAGATTGAAAAAATGATTGTTTTTCCGTTGTAAGAGTAATCACTAAATGTGACCCCAACCTTTGAAAATGAGAAATTTGGAGCCTAAAATCTTTTCTAATGAAACTCGCCCTCAGGATGATCAAAAAGCCGAAAACGACATGGCGATGAAACGCGCAGCTTTGCTGGAGAAGCGATTAAGAAGGGAGAAAGAAACCCAGCTTCGGAAGCAACAGCTGGAAGCGGAAATGGAGCACAAGAAAGAAGAGACCAGGTGAGGCCTGGGCCACGTCCATTCCCAGAGTGCACTGGGGTGCCTGGGCCTGCAGGGAGACTGCGAGAGGCCATGCCCCAAGTACTGCCTGAGAGCAGGTTTTCATCCTAACTTTGAGGTTCTGCAAAGTAAAATTCTCTAGAAACATTCATTTAAAACACTTTGAATGCCTTATCTACTTTCTTTCTTTTTTATTTATTTTTTTAATGACCTAAATTACCTCAGTAAGCACTTTTTAGATGAATTGCTTTTACCCGCTCAAGGTGCTGGAATATAAGAATTCTTCTTCTCAGGTCAAATACATATTCTTTCCGATGTCTGTTTCTGTCTTTGGTGTGCAGAACGAGAAACTTAACTGTTTGATTCCCTAGGCGTAAAACTGAGGAAGAGCGTCAGAAAAAAGAAGACGAGAGAGCGCGCAGAGAATTTATTCGGCAAGAGTACATGCGGCGGAAACAGCTGAAGCTCATGGAGGATATGGACACAGTCATCAAGCCCCGCTCCCAGGCAGCAAAGCAGAAAAAGCAGCGCCCCAAATCCATTCACAGGGACCATATTGAGTCCCCCAAAACACCCATAAAAGGTCCTCCAGGTAACACCACACACTTAGGAGGAGTCTGTTCATAAACAAAACACCAGCTTGGTATGTCATACTAACCCTTGATATGCTAAATTGGATACACGGTTTAAGAGTATGCATGCTCCTTATTTGAAAAACCACAGTGAGCATGTGAAGGGGGTTTTTTTAGGACTTAGGCATTATGTATGCATGCATATATACTCAATACAACAAACGTGAATGCTAAAAATCCTATTTAAATACTAACCTGTAAAGAACTCTGCCTTCAAATGTGCTCTCCCTGGATTGCTAATATTAACTACCCTCCCCATGTTTGAAAAATCTCATGAGAAATTTTGTATGTGCCTAAATGTACAAGAAACATGGCCGTATAGTAAGGAATCTGAGACCAAAAGTTCACAGAACCCTCTCTTACCTAACAGACATGGAGAGAGCCAAATTTATTGTCTCCAGAATTGAGAGAATACATATGCTTTAATACTCAATATGCATACTTCTTACTCCAAAAATGGTTATTTTGTTAAGACAAAATAAATAACCATGGAAAATTTAGAGAATTCTGTAGTTAGTCTAAAGCTGAGAAAAAGCAAATCTAGCATTGACTGTGAAAAGAGAACTCAGCCTTTTATAGTTAATGAAGCTGTTTGATGGCTAATAATTTAATACAATTAACAGTTCATCTATGCATTAGACAATTCTTAAATATAACATTTTTGTTCGTTTTTCCCTTTTCCTAATTTTCTTTTTGTGTTTTCCTTTTCTGTAGAATCATAGTATCATGTCTCATGCTAGCACTTCCCTTTTGGAATAATTCCTGATGTCAAGTTAGTTTTATCATTGTTTTTTAAGAGTAGGTTCCTTACTGATTTTAAGTAAACTGTGCATATATGCATGCAAGCATATTACATGCTTAGATTACGAGTAAAAGGAAGAAAACTACAGAAAATTACATGCTGGTGTTCTCTGATGAACAGACTCTTTGCTAGTTGCCCCTTTTAAATTTCTAATTTTGTTTTTATTCAGGGTCACGAATTTATCGTGTTTTTTCAGTCTCTAGCCTTTCTCTGGCGTCACTGAACACGGGCGACACTGAGAGCGTGCACTCGGGCAAGAGGACCCCTCGGTAAGTCGGCCCCTCCCCTCCAGGACCCAAGCCATAAGCAGGAGGCTTTCACTTCCGATTGTACACACCTGCGTCGTGGTCTTTACAATGTAGTAACTTTTGCTGACTCAGATAGTTGGGGTTTCTTTTTTTTAGTCGTTTTATTGGGGACTCATACAACTCGTGTCACAATCCATACATACTTCCAGTGTGTAAAGCACATTTGTACATTCGTTGCCCTCATCATTCTCAAAACATTTGCTCTCCACTTAAGCCCCTGGTATCACCTTTCATTTCCCCCTCCCTCCCCGCCCCCCACCCCCATGAACCCTTGATAATTTATAAATATTTATTATTATATGACATCTCCCTTCACCCACTTTTCTGTTGTCCGTCCTCCAGAGAGGAGATTATATGTAGATCCTTATAATCGGTTCAATTGTTGGCGTTTCTGTTCAAAGAAATTGTATAAAGAGGAAAGACTGGTTTTGTTTATTACTCTTGCACTGTTTTTATCTTTTAAAAGTTTGGAATTATTGATCGCTGAGGTACTTTGTATGGGCTTGAAGCCTTCACAGCAGCTGACGTGAGCCAGAGCAATGCGATGGGCGAGAGCCTGGCCCGTAGACCCGGAGGTGCATCATCCCTATAGTCCTGCCGGACCTGATGCCTCTGGAGAACAACTCCCAGTACATGACCTCTGGCTTAGGAAAGCTCTCTTTTGTTCTCTCCTCCTAGGTCATTGAGATGCTAAAAGCCAGCATTTCATTATCTTATTCTGTACAGTTATAAATTGTGAGCTCTAATCTTTATAATTTGTGTTGTACTAACTGTTCATTTTCAGATGGTGTCCCTACTATGCTCTAAGGAGCCATAGTAAGATAGTGGATAAGCACTTAGATCCTGGCCGAAATGTTGGGGATTCAAGCCCACTAGCCACTTCAAAGGAGAACAATTCCACAGTCTACTCTCGTGCCGGGTACAGCACCAGAAGTCCTGTCACCACTGCCACTGAGTCGATTTTGACTCAGAGGAGCCGTGTGGCATAGTCTAACTGCTCCATATTGGTTCTGAGACTGTAAATCATTACGGGAGCAGCTTCATCTTCCTGTGACCCAATTGACTGGTTTGAACGGCTGACTTCCTCAGCCCAATGTTGAACCCACTGCACCACCAGCACCCCTTAGAAACCCTGAAGGGCCCCTCCCCTCCGTCCAGCAGGGTCCAACGGGTGGGGCCCGACCTGATGGCGTTTGTTCCAGCTCAGCAGTAGATAGTTACAAATCAGGCACACAGAGTTATCACTACCTTTTCATTTGTAAGCATCGGGGTTAATTTTGATTGGCACTCTCATATGTATTCTCCCAGCCCCCAAATGTCGTTTCGCTGAGACAAAAAGTGTCGTATTTACTATTTAGGTCGGAGTCTGTAGAAGGTTTCCTGTCTCCAAGTCGTTGTGGCAGTCGAAACGGAGAGAAGGACTGGGAAAATGCGTCCACGACTTCCTCCGTGGCTTCTGGAACCGAGTACACAGGTCAGCGTCTGTTCCTAAAGCGTGGCACTCGCGTTCATGGGGAGACTGGGAAGTGCTTCGGGAAGTCCAACGGGGGAGGAGGATGAGAAGGAGGGAGGCACTGTGACTGCTGTTCACAAGTAGGCATGTTCCAGGAAAATGGCAAAAAAATGCTTCTGTGCTTTCACTGACTAGAGAACCTAGTGAGAACAAATAAATTAGCAAAAATTTTATAAACCAGAGGTATGGGAGGGGGGAATGAGGCTTTTTTGCATTGTCATTTTAGTGACTTAAATTACTCGTGGGCCCATTCTACTTCCGAGCTCACCAAGTGCCTTACGTGGCTGAGTGCGAAGTGCGAACAGGCGGTGGTGAGTGTGGCTGGGTCTGGCCTCCAGGACCGCTGCCACTCCCAGGGCGGCCTCCAGAGCACAGCAACGCCCGCTGCCGGGAACACACCTAGAGTCCAGTCAGAGAGGCCCGCGACAGCATGCCAGCCCTGGTTCACGCTTCATCCGTGCAGGAGCAATCCGAATACTCAAAGTCTCTGACTTAGGAATACATTTGTATTGTCATTATGAAACCCTTACTGCAGGACCGAAGCTCTACAAGGAGCCCAGCGCAAAATCCAACAAGCACATCATACAAAACGCGTTAGCTCACTGCTGTTTGGCGGGGAAAGTAAACGAGGGTCAGAAGAAGAAGATACTAGAGGTAAGCATGTGTGTACAGGAGATAGCGCTGGCATCCTGCTCAAAGTGGGGTCTTGTCTTCTGCAGCAGTTGGAAAGGAGACACCCGAGGCCTCCTAGAGCGTGCGCAGCAGCGCAGCGAGCTGACACGAACACTTAATGGGTGGAGGGAGTAAGTGCACCGCCCTCACAGTGGGACCCGAGAGACCGAAGGTTACTGACAAATCGTATCCTCACTTGTAGCGCATGATTGTAGATAACATGAAGCTATGTTGGCGAAGGAGATGGCAGCAGTGTAAAAAGTTTGGCTAAAATCAAGACTGAGCAGAGACTTTGTTATCTCTAGAAGTTTGTTGCGGGATTTTAATAGCCCACAACCAGTAGACCATTAGCCAATGATACGGTGTTTCATACATTTTAAATTCATTTGTTTTTATAATATGCATCTTATTTTGACTCTTTAGAACAAATGTTTAGATTCAACATCTTTAAAATTTGACTAAGAAATATAGCACCATTGAATCAACTTCATTCAGCAAAATGAAGATAAGTACTTGTTTGTTTGTTTTTATTCCAAAGGAAATGGAGAAGTCAGACGCCAACAACTTCTTGATCTTGTTCCGGGATTCAGGCTGCCAGTTCAGGTCTTTGTATACTTACTGCCCAGAATCTGAAGAAATCAATAAACTGACAGGGATAGGCCCAAAGTCTATCACTAAAAAAATGATCGAGGGGCTTTATAAATATAACTCGGACCGGAAACAGTTTAGCCAGATTCCTGCAAAAACTCTCTCTGCCAGTGTCGATGCGATTACCATTCACAGCCATTTGTGGCAGACCAAGAGACCAGTAACACCGAAAACATTTTTACCCACTAAGGCATAGGACTTGGGAAATACCTGCTTCAGAACATTCGTGGTAAATTTGCACTTCATCTTTCCTGCCTATAGAAAATCTTTCTAATTGCCAACAAGACTTTTATTAATTAGAACTGGACATTCGGCTCCGTTGTTACAACAACTGGAATGTAACGTAAGCCACAGTGTTTGGCGTGTGGAAGAGCCCCACGTAGGTGACGCGCCGAGTGATGGTGGACGTGTTCCGCTTCACAAGTGGAGAGTGGCACGTGTGGTCAGGTTCATCCGCTTGACACTCGGGTGCGGCGTGCTGAAGCACTGAGCTTCCTTCCGTACTAGTTGGACTTAGGGTTGAAATACGGCTAAGAGTTCTGTGTTGTATTTGTTGCTTTTTTTAACCTTTCAATGTACACTATTGTCTTAAGATGGTTTAATTTGCTATTTTTCTTTCCTAGGATTTATTCTAAGATACATTTTTTGTTTGATGTGGAATCATGAGAGTAGACGATACCTTTGGAAGGAACATGCACCTTAAGGTGCAAAGAGAAACACTAGTGTTCAGATTGACAGTGATCTTCATGTTTTAACGGTGTTAAAGCATCTGCTAAAATTCCTCCACTAAGTATTTACAATTCTGTATTTATTATTCGCGCAAGTATTAACATTTCTCTATTTGGGCAGTGGGGGGAGGGAGGTTGTAGAAGAGCTGCTGGTAGGTTCGCTGTAAACCAGGAGAGTCTGAACCAAGAAGATACCAAGTTGCTGATAAATCAGGGCTGGTTATATGCCACTGCTGACCCACTCAGTAATGCAGGTGGTTCTTGTAACTAAAAAGACTCTGTTATCTTAAAGTAAGTCACTTTATAAGCCGCAGAAGTGGATGACATTCTGAAAGTTGTCTCTCAAACTGAAGATGTAGGACTTCCTGTTACAAGTGCTCAGGGGGTCTCTACACTATATTTATAACTGATAGGGAAATTATATTTAGACTTTTTAGACATGTGCAAAGGGCTGCATTTTCATTTTAAGATAGCTTCACATTATTTTACTTATATTGAGTTTTCCATTTTCTTTTTAGTCTTTTCAAATCGAACACCTTTGAAATCTCCTTCACGTGTTGTTATTTTGTTGTGTTGTGTTACAATGTATTCCAGAGGGTTAGTGGGGAAAAACTTCATTCTCAGGAAAAGACTTGAATGATTATGTGACCCTGTTTTGTTTCAGTGTTGTGACAACTGTGTGGAAGTGGGTGGGTGGAGACAGTATTGTATCATAAACGAGATGCTTAGTATGTTTTCGTTCATGAGAAGTAGAGACTAAAATATGTACATTTCTCTTATTGAGTGGTGTAGAGAGAGAACTAATGTCTCATATGATGTATTTACTTATTTTAAACAAGGAATAGGAATGAGATGTCCCTGCACTGTACTTTTTTATTATTCTAAGGCCCTTAGGCATCAGTGCATCTGAGTTATCAACACTTTCTCAAATGCTGTCGATATTTTACTATAATTTATGTTCTTATATTTATGTATATTTGTTAAAACTGTAAAAAAAATTGCACAGATTTTTTTCCAATAGCTGTGCAAGTTATATGTGTAGCTCAAAACTATTTGTGACCTACTGTTTGCATGTAAGAGACCAGGATACGTAACTCTTATATTTTAAGTGAATACATAGTGTGTATATAATATATGACTATTAAAAATGGGGATTGGCACATTTTACCTTGAGGAGAACAATTTCAATCACAATCAGAAGGAAATGATTATCAAACACATGTTTAAATTAAAACTAATTTTTGCAAAAGGAAGCAAACCTAATCAAAATGAATTGAATAGTCAAAGAATTACTAAACATTTTACATTATTAAATTGCCTGTATCAAAGCAGCCTTAGCCTTCTTCACAATATGACTTGGCTATTAAATTAAGGGAGAAATGGAAGTAAACAATGGGGGAACTATCCAGAACTAAATGGGACCACCACTTAGGCTTCGATTAATGTATGTCCAACAGTGGGTTGCCGTGTCTGTAGTATCTAAAGGTGGAATGTGAATGTTGCCATGAAAGCTCATTGCTTCTCAGTATACTTTACTAATGCAGAAGAAACACGGATACATTTCTTTCAGCCTGCAGTGTCTTTGTTCTTGTTTTGCCATTGCAGCTTTCATTGGAATCATGTTTTTAAAATTATACAAATGACAATTATGCCATTTCATAAAGGTCTGGGGATTCTCGTCCACCTGACTGAACCCACAGGTGCTCTCATCATTGGAGGTGGAGTTACTACGAGGACAGTTCTCTGTCAGACTTGCCAAATACTTGTCCTAGGTCCCAGGTGGACTGTTGAGCGCTGCTGTGAACCGCACAGCTTTGGAACGCTTTCATTCCTCTCAGTTCTTTCACTTTTGTCTTAGGGTGTTCGGGTTTTTATTTGGCTGTTTAAAGCCAAATGCAGCTATTTAATGATGGTTTCCTGAACCCTGCCGGGCAGTGCACGAGCTGTGGTGCGCTCCCCCGGCCACTCTAGAATGTTGCTTACAGGTTTTTAAGATGCTGTGCTGTACAATTCTGTCATTTGCTATTTCCTGGTACAATGTAGTTTTCCCCCCTTTCAGTTGAATAAAAGCATGGCACCAAATGATTTCTTTCCTGTGTTTCTTGAATTAAAACGTTTTGTTAAAAATTACTGGAACTAGGGAGGGACTCATTATATAGTTTTCCTGTGTCTTAACCTACTTTTAAACAACAGTTTGAGCATTTATATCACGGTGGCAGCAAAGTAACAGGCAACAGTGCTTGTGTTGACGTTCAAAAACCGGGCCCGGGGGCGGGGGCGTTGATTTCTTTTACTTCTATTGACAAGGATATTTTAAAATGTGCTAATCAGCAAAGCCTCTCAAGTACCTAAGCCTCTGATGGATTTTATTCTTAACCGCAGGCAATCGTGTTACCTGGTAGAGTCTGTGACTTCCTCTGGTAGCCAGTTCCAGCTCATTGTGACCCCAAGTGTCACAGCAGACAGGTGTTCTCATTCTTTGAAAGGAGGGTGGCAGCCCTTTGTTCCTAGGTGCCTCTGTAGCAGCATTGAGTTGGAGATGCATCCGAAAGCCACAGGGGGTGTGGTTTACAGTGCCTGCAGCCCACACTTCTTGGGCTGCAGTGATTCCTCATTGGCCTAGGTATTCCTTTACACCTTGACGTTTGCAAAAGGGAACCTTCTCTCAACCCCAAACCAAACAGAAACTGCCCTCTTCTAAGCTGCTCTCTGGTTTAGCCCTTCACACCACCCGTGGAAAGGTGAGCACTAACTTTCA